ACGTAAATATCATACAATATAACGTACCTTCGAAATATCCCAGCCCGAGAACTTCACAATGCACCGTGCCACAACACAACCGCACCAACCGCCGGCAGCCGCAGAACTGAACAATGGCGGCCGGAAATGACGGCCCCGCGCCGGAAGTGAAGGACGCGTTTTAGAAGCAGTCTCAGACTCGTCGCTGCTCACCGTAGCAGGGATTTATGAGGCACTACCGAATCAAAGTCGTTTCGCCTCATTCGGCAACACGAAAACCCTACCAGGACTAGTCCGATGATGAGTTTCCGACTAGGTGGCGTGTGCGCAGGATTATATTTAAAGCACGTGCAGGGCGGTGCCTCATTAGCCGACATAATAATAATATGACACGATAATGAAACACGCATGTAACTAGCATGCAACAAGCTTCTGGCGGATTTAATTATGAGACTATGCGTAGTTTTCCGACACAGCGCGAAATCTGTTGATAAGCAGGAAGGGGTGTTAGGGAAGCATTTAAGTTATTAGGTTACCGTTTGTAACCAATTGTTTCACGAGGCCACTCTTTAACTAACAACCCTCAGGCTGATAATGTCCATATATATAACAGCAAGGTACAATGGACGACCGTGTAACCCACTCCTTGTCATAGAATTGGCTCGTGACATTTTTTTACAGTGTATTACAATTATATAGTCCCTCGTCTTACCAATTATCGAATATGGCTGCATAGTTTATGCAAGGGCCAATGCACCAACTTTGAACACACTTGAAGCGCAGCAAAACGCCTTCTTGAGGATAACACTAGGAGCTATGAGAACATCTCCCGATGTCTCTCTCCAAATTGATTCGGGTGTAATGCCCCTTCAAATAAGACGCATAGAACAAACTCTGCGCAGTGCGCTATGCAGCTCGTGTCAATTTGTATCGAACCCACCCCAGCCAAGCTGCAGTTAGAATGCTTCCCACTCCTTACAGTAACTCTTCGCCCCCGAGTCGAAGGAGAACGGCCCCTACTATTGCGTCTCGAATCACCTCGTTTGCTTCCCAGGTTCAATTTGTTTTCCCGCAAACCACGCACTCAAAACTTTTTTACTACCTCCTGGAGGGTTCATTTTCATCAAACCTGCAAGATAAGAGTATATTGAAAGGGTAACTTGCTGCTACCATTATGTGCATGGTAACGGTACGAAGTTAATTCGATGTTATTCGCCAGCGAAGCGTATTATTACCATGTAAATATCAATATTACTCTCGCGATCCAGAACATGACGAAAACTCTTTCCTTCAGGGTATCGTGACTCGTCATCCGGTGGTACATATCCGAAGCCCGTGGTATGTGTTGACCATCCTTCAGCGAGTAGGTCCAGTGAAACGATTCGTTAACTCCATAGAGGGTGCTAGCCAACAATGGTTACTCCAAGGCTATATAAACCAGGTAGAACGCTCCGGGAAAAAAGTTGGAAACAATAAATTAGTTGCGGCATTCCCTGATGACGCGAATGTGGGTCAGCGGCCGGCGGCCGGCCGCCGCTAACACTGTATGAGGAGGGATGCGCGGAACTTTTGCTTGTTGGTGATTGCGCTAGGCAGTTAAATGGTAATGTTAGGATATGTTTCGAAAGTAAATTGAACGACGCTTCGAACGCCGTCAATGAATTTGCGATACGACGACTATTTGTTTAGTTAGAGCCGGCGAACTTTTACCTTCCGACCGCGCGCGGAGGCGATATGGTGCCACACTGGCGGTTTTTACGATAGCTCAAAATTCTTTTGAGATAAAGAGATGAAATTTGACATATCCTATCTTTTGATCAAGCTGGATCTTATGGTACAAGTCGCATATTTAAGGTAGGTCAGGTTGTTGACCTATGTTGTCGCTCGTGAGCCTCTGCACAGTCCAAAAACAGCGCAATTTCTGAACACTCAGTGCCAAGAAATCATTCACAAAAAGATGACACTTGTCAGAAAGAAGAGTTGTCGGTTTCTTACCGTTCGTATGTGTCGTGTTTTCACAAGAGTTTAGTAAGGTCAGGTCCGTCACGTGACCTCCCCTCATAACTCAATAGGTTTACTATCATAGAAGCGTTTATCAATCGCCGGAAATCTTAGCCAATCCCACTGGACACTGGATCCATACCCACATGGAGCCCTCCTGACTGGCCACTCCCTCTGAAATCCACAATAACATTGGGCTGCGGCCGCGGTTATGTATTAATGCTTTTCACTAACAGAAATACAACTTCAACCAGCACAGTGCACGCCGCCACAACAGTCCGACCCACGTCCCTGATATCGACTAGCTCCCGGCCGGATGCACATACGCGGAGCCAATCAGTCCGAATGTGACCTGCAGCTTACAATTGCTGTGTCGCATGGCGCATGGCACAGGACGATTCCTAGCAGCTGTCGGCTGGAGTGGAGAAACAGCACGTTGCGACACACCGCGCCGGCGACAGAGCTCAGCAGGGCTGGTTGGAGGCTGGAGCCGGAGGTAAGGGCGGACACAGGCACAGACATTGCAGGACAAAGAACAGGATGTCAGGGATATAATTCAAGACGAATGATTCAAGACGGACTGAAATAATACACATTTTGCTCACTTGGATACCAACTTCAAACTTGACGTTTATGTATAGCACCATGGAAACAATGGGCACACAGGAAAGGAACAAAAGATGAGGGTTTTGTAACTCAAGGAAGTAAAATAGCCCGAAGTGCAGACAAGCACATACTTTTGGTAATAGCTATCAGCTGTCCTACTCCTCTTCTCCCTTCATCAACTACTGGACACATTTGAAGCATCATATATAGCACCAATGTCCATAACCAAAGCTTGCAAGTAGTTTTAACTTCTATGAAGCCAAGGGAAATGTGCCTACATTATGCATGTAAACTCAAAATTACACATGCATGACAAAGGAAGCTTATGTAAAGAGAATAGTTGATAAAAGCATCTCATGGTTAAAATTATTCAAAACTGCACACAGGGCAAACATAAAAAGCAGCAAGTGTACTGTTCTGTTATGCTAAGAAATAGTCCAAAACAAAATACAATCTTGTCATGTTTGAACTGGTTGTTCTTCTATGCCCCTTCATCCATATCTTGATTACAGATGGGCTGTTACTGTAGGCTGATGAAGTGACACTTGATTGCCTTTGTGCGAGTTTCAGTTGCAGCCTCCTTGGTACTGCACTGGAAAGCAGATTGAATTGAATGCCTCTGAAAGATAGGAATACAGGCAAAGTTAGCTGTAGTAGTGTCAATGATAATAGACATGACATTTTTGTCCTTTGACATACATTTGTTGAAGTACAAAAAGGTACAAAATAAATTGGTTTGTTTCAAGACACGCACACTGCACAAAGCCGCACAGACATTACACAGGGCCAGGCATACGAAATTGGTACCCATAAAAATTGATGATTGAAAAGGTCAAAACTTGCAATAATAATTGAAGTAAAAGTTACAATCACAATCATTTGATTTAAAATGACTTGGCATAAGTCACAAGATGCAGCGCTTCTATTCTTTTATGCTTTCATTACCCTCCACATATCAACCAGCTTGATACCAGGCTGTGCAATAGTGTGTACATAACCCCATGTTGCCATTTTATTAGAGCAAGTGGGGTTACAACAACAATGCTAATGTCAAACCCACATCTTGATCTGCAACCTGTACTGTGGTTTCAATCACCTTACAATTGCACACATTCTGGCAGTTTGATGGGCAGAATGGTCATTGCTACTTTCTCCTCACATTCAACACATATTCCCTTTATACAGAGACAGTTTAGACCTGGTTATGGCAAGCATTTTCGAGAAAAGATATGATTAAAGTCCAAGACAAAGGTCGAGAAAAACAACACCAACATAAAACACCGACTATGTAGCACTAATAGTGTCAAATTAATAAAAATATATACATGAGTCGATCAGAAATTCACTGTAGATTTCGAAAATGGTGTCAAATGCCACTCAAATACCCCCATTCGCATGAACGAAGCAATAAAACACTGACCTTCAATTCCGCGTGCCATTCTCCATAGGCCACTGTGTATTAAATAACGCGTTCACTGATAGCGAAAAAAGAGACCCACATATGACGCGTTTGCTACCAGCCAATCAGCGCTCGAGTTACCGAGCGCTGATTGGTGGAGAGGGCCGTCGTCAGCAGCTAATTACACGTTGTTTTCCCTGAACATGTGCGTGAGCGCTGATGCTGCTCACGGGCTGTTGCCATTTTTCGTAATGCTGAAGGCACGGGAGCGAACCCCCCTGGGTTACTCTCAAGCCAACAAAAGTTACTCCTTATTCGATCGTTACATGCGTGGATTCTCTGCACGTTGATCTTTTTTTACACTCATGAAGTTAATATCTGAAATGGTAGCCAATCAGAACGCGAATGGCTATTTGAAATTGGCAGCGCTGGATTTCCGCTATCTAAACGGCCTTTCAGTTTCCACGTGGTTTCCGCCGGTCGCGTGTTTCGTCGTCTGCCGTTTATTGCAATTGTTGCGGTCGTTCCGCACCGTTTTGAAGCAGGCAAGTGTTTTGTATATATGTATATATATATATATATATATATATATATATATATATATATATATATATATATATATATATATATATATATATATATATATATATATATATATATATATATATATATATATATATATATATATATATATATATATATATATATATATATATATATATATATATATATATATATATATATATATATATATATATATATATATATATATATATATATATATATATATATATATATATATATATATATATATATATATATATATATATATATATATATATATATATATATATATATATATATATATATATATATATATATATATATATATATATATATATATATATATATATATATATATATATATATATATATATATATATATTCCTGTTTATCGTTGTTGTCGACACCATCGGCGATATAGCTCGGTACGCTACAAAGGATAAAAGATTGATAAATGGAAATAAATGTATTGGGCATTAGAATAGAAGAGACATATGGACAGTAGACAGATGCAGTCTGTAGTTTGTTGAGAGATCGTAGATCAGTAGTTTAGTTGTAGGTTCCTGTAAAATACACAAATAACAGGCCCTTTTACACCGGTGTGCGCCATAAATCGTCTCATTCATTTCGGTATCAGCAGTATCTGACATATCTATGGGCATATATCCAAACTAAATACTTTTGAACCTCACACCGGAGTTAATTAGTGCATATCAACAACCAACGAAGCGACAAGTAGCATTTCATGTCCAAAATATCCAAATAACCTACCAAGGTGTCTTCCTTCGCCGGGTTTCGTGTCGAATTGCGCACAAGGCCGGTCAGCTGGTGACACGCAAAAATAACAAGTATGGGCAGACGAAACCGGCCGACAATAAACAAATTTAAATACGCCTTTTAACGTATAACGAGAAAACGTATCAAATAATTTCACTACGATATTCCAATGTGAAATACTAATCGAGATAGTATAAATCACTCATTTAACGCAGCTTGGTTATAATGCAGTTCCCAAAACGACCGCGCACCCGCGGTGGCAGCACCTTACGGTGACAGCCGAGAACAATGCTGCCATCTATGCTACAAGCGGTCCCGATGCGATTCAGGACCATCACATCCTCCCCCCGGTGACGCAACGTCACCTGAGTGATCGCACACGGTACACACGCGTCAGTGATCGCGCACGGTACACATCCCAGTCTCGCTGCCACTGCAGCTGTCGACTGTTGTCCACGACTCAGCCGGCAGCCAGGGAGACCAGTCGACTCGCTGCAGCCGACCTTCCCGTGTCTGGCTCAGCAGACAGTACCACGCGCCGTGGCCGAAAGCACCAGCCGCCGCAACCGGCAGCTCGCCGCAGTTCCAGAGACGCCGCCAGGGTCAGACTTAACACCCGCACCGCCTCCGGCCTGATATGCACAGTCAGCGTCATCACTAAGTCACTATTCTGAGAGCGACCTAAATCGGCAGTGGCCGACTCCGTGCCCACGGCCACCCCGCAGGCGACACAGGCACAGCAGACAGCAGCTCGCCGGGGCCGCCCCGTGCCGGCGGCCACTCCACAGGCAGACCAGTTCGCCGCAGCTGACCTCGCGCCGGCGGCGACTCCGCAGGCGACGCACACAGCAGCTCGCCGCGACCGACTCCGCCAGGTCGCCAGCCCCGCCGTTGGAGGCATGCCGGCTCCTGCAGTCCACCAGATCGTCGTCCAGGACTGCTGCATCCAGAAGTCGTCCCTCTCCAGTTCAGGAAGGGTTAGGAACGACATCCTAGGAGGAACAAAGACAGAATAACAGGAAGTTAAGGAAAATAGACATTAGGATAGATACGATTCATGTGCACACGATGTCAGCGATCAGCAGTCATCACCATACTCACTCAGCTTCCTCTAACAGACACACTTTGCTGACGGGGCGGTGGTAAGTGCCTCCCCCCGCTGCCTTCAGCTCAACCGATCGGACGGTGCCGTCTGAGCCCGGCAACACTCGAACAACTCGGGCTAGAGGCCAGAATCCTCTCGGCGAATCGCTCTCAACCATCAGGACGACGTCACCTTCTTGCAGATTTCTTGTTTTGCGGAGCCACTTCTGACGGCTCGTCAGGGTTGGGACATACTCCCGCCGCCACCGCTTCCAGAACAGGTCAGCCAGAACTTGTGACTGCCGCCAACGCCGTCTGCTGCTCAACTCGCAGGGCTGGAAGACTCCGGGCGAGATGTTGACGATTGAACACCCCAGTAGAAGATGGTTCGGTGTCAGTGGTTCTACGTCAGTGCCATCAGGGCTAACATATGTAAGAGGCCGTCCGTTGACCATGGCCTCGACTTCAAGTAGCGCAGTGTGAAGCACTTCGTCGCTCACACATTGCGATCCGATCGTCACCTTCAGGGCTCTCTTGACGCTACCGACCAGTCTTTCCCAGGCGCCGCCCATGTGACTTGCTCCGGGAGGCATAAACGTCCACTTGATGTGATCTTGGCTCAGATGATCCGAAATGCGAGCCTGATTAAACTCCTGCAGCGATTCCCGGAGCTCACGCTCTCCTCCTACCAGGTTCGTTCCGTTGTCGGAAAACAGGGCATCTGGCTTTCCTCGACGCGCGGAAAACCTCCTCTGGGCCATTATAAAACTGTCAGTATCTAGAGTGTTTGCGATCTCTAGATGCACCGCGCGCGTTGAAAGGCAGGTAAACAAGACACCGTACCGCTTCTCGGTCTTTCTGAACTTTTTCACCATCATCGGTCCGAAATAGTCAACACCGACTGTGCTGAAGGCTCTTGAAGTGTTGAACCTTCCGACTGGCAGGTCAGCCATCCTCGGGACTTCCGGACGTGCTCTTCTGTTTCTGCATACGGTGCACTGGTGCAAGATTCTTCGGACGGTTGACCGAGCCTTTGTGAACCAGTAAGCTCTTCGTACTTCTGTCAGAGTCCTTTCTTGACCCGAGTGCAGGACCTTTGAGTGGTTGTACGTCACGATCAGGCGTGTGACATCATCTCTGGCCGGGAGGATCGCTGGATGACGCGTCGAATAGGGCACTGGAGCCTTGCTGAGGCGCCCGCCGACGCGCAGCACGCCATCACCGTCCAGGAAAGGCGACATCTGAGTCAGTCTTCCCTCAGACCCCGCTGGGTTGCCGTTCCGGAGAGCGGCTACTTCTGTGGTGAAAGTCCGCGCCTGACAGTCTAAGACGATCTTCTTTTCAGCCTCCTGAATCTCGTCTGCTGACAGCGGCCCCTGGCGCTTCCAGTCAGCTTTAGTCGGGCAGTTTGATGCGATGAAGTTCGTCACGAATCGTAGCATCCACGCTACAACTCTTCGGTAGCGCGTCCATGAAGAGAATTTCCCTGCGTCAGGAAGCACAGTCACTTCGAGCTCTGGCTTCGTCGTGAGAACTTGCTTTGTTCTTACTTCTGGGTCGTCCGCCGATACAGCTTTGCACGGTGGGTTCTCAGGCCAGTGCTTTTCGTCCTTCAGCAGGAAGTAGGGACCATCCTTCCAGTGCGAGTCTGCGGAAAGATCCGTGGCAGAGGCTCCCCTGGAGCAGACGTCAGCTGCATTCGAGCTGGACGGGACGTGCCTCCACTGATCTGGACGAGACAGCTCTCGGATTTCGGCCACCCGATTGGCCACAAAGGTGTGGAATCTACGGCTGTCATTCCTCACATACTGCAACACAACAGTACTGTCCGTCCAGAACAGAACTCGCTCCACCTTGACGCTCAGCTCCTTCAGGATCATGTTGGCCAATCTGACTCCCAATACCGCTGCTTGTAGCTCGAGCCTGACAATGGAGATTTGCTTGAGAGGCGCCACTCTCGTCTTTGACATGGCCAGGGAGCAGATACTGGGGCGATCGGGCATTATCGTCTTGACGTACGCCACTGCTCCGAACGCCTGCTGAGAGGCGTCACAGAATATGTGCAGCTCTCTGGTACAGTCCGCGCTGATCTCTGTGCCTGAGAAACACCGCGGGACGGTCATCAGTTCCGTGGAAGGGAGCTCACTCAGCCACTTCTTCCAGATCCGCGACTCCTCCTCTCCCAGCTGATCGTCCCAGCTGTAGTTACCTGCCCAGAGGCGCTGGATCAGGATCTTGGCCTGCAGAGAGAATGGCGATAGCAGCCCCAGGGGGTCGTAGAGACGAGCGACTCCCCGAACTACTCCACGTTTCGTCTCTGGTACGTGTGGGTCGATGCTTCTCACTCCCAGCGTGTCTTCGGCCGTGTTCCATGTGCAGCCCAGCACACTCTGAGTCGTGCCAGCTTGAGCTCGCTCTTCCTGTTTGATCTGTTCCATGACTCGTTTCGAGTTCGTCGTCCACTTCGTTAGCTTGAACCCGCCTTTTCTCAGGAGTTCTGTCATTTCCGTCTGCATCTCGACAGCTTTATCTTCAGTTTCTATAGCATGCACGAAGTCGTCCATGTAGAAACTGTTCAATGCTGCCTCTTTAGCTGCTTGTCCTGCTGCAGTGCTGCTGCTGCAGTCTCTGGCCGTCTGCTGCAGGACGAAACTGGCCGACGCTGGACTGCTTTTGGCTCCGAAGATTGCAACTTCCATAGTGTAACACTCTGGGTTCTTCGTCACGTCCAGGTCTCTCCAGAGGTACCGCAGGGCCGCCTGGTCTCGCTGTATGATCCTGACCTGGTGGTACATGGCTTCAATGTCAGCAGTCAGGGCTACTGGTTCTTCTCTGAGTCTTAAGAGGATGCCTGGAAGGTTCTTCAAGAGGTCGGGTCCCGTGAGAAGCATGTCATTCAGCGACACGCCTTCACACGTTGCGGCAGCGTCAAATACTACCCTCAGTTTCCCCGGCTTCCTTGGGTTCGTCACACCGTGGTGAGGGAGGTACCAGGTCCTGGGATGCGATTCTTGCTCCTCTTCAGTCTCCAGCTTGCGTGCAAACCCGAGCTCAACGTATCCGTCCATGACCTTCTTGTACGCCTCGGCTTTCTGTGGTTTCCGCAGTAGGCTCTTCTCCAGTGAATGCAGGCGGCTGACGGCTACTGCTCTGTTGTCTGGCAGGTGTACCTCATCGCTCTTCCAAAGGAGCCCCGTCTCATAACGATTGTCCAGTCTACGTGTGGTGTTTTTCATGACTTCCACTGCTCTGATGTCTTCGGGAGATTTGGCGTCATCGCCTTCAAACTTGCACCCGAAGGACTCAGTGGTCCACCACTGCTGCAGCATTTTCGACATCTCGTCTTCGTCTGGTGACTTCCTGCTGATCAGCATCACCTGCCTCTTCCGCTCAGGAATAAATCCCTTCACTGAACCGGCCAGAGTCCACCCGAAGGCAGTTCTGATCGCCACCGGTTGGGCCTTCTTTCCCTGCTTCACTTCGAGTTGTAGCAGAGCTTCGAGGACATTCGCTCCTAGAAGAAGCTCCACCGTCTTACCGGAACAGTCTGGCAGATCGAGATCTTGCACGTGTTTCCAGTCAGGCATCTTGTGGGGGATCTCAGGTACTGTGACGTTGATTTTCTTTACGGAAAATGCCTCAGGAACTACCACACTTGAGCCATCGCCGAATGACGCTTTCAATTCGAGCTTCAGCTTCACTGAGGTCTGAAGGGGTCCGCATCCCTCGACGCTCTGCAGGCGGAGGGTTTGCCGCTCTCCATGAAGACCCAGTTCGGTCACCACATCTTCGGACACCAACGAGGTCTGCGAACCCGGATCCAACAGGGCACAAACCTGTTTGGACTCGCCGTTACTGCCGAGGATGGTGACCGGCACCACTTGCAGCAGTGTCGTGACATCATCGGTTTTCAGAGACGCTGCAGCGACTACGCGCTCACGGCTGGTCCGTCTGCCGACCCGCTTGCTGCCGTGGAGTGTTGCGTGGTGCCTCATCGTGCAGTTGTCGATTCCGCATGGCTTTGCTGAACGACAACGCCGCACGCCGTGCCCCGTCTGCAGGCAGTAGAAGCAGCGCCCGACTTCGGCGATCCAACGCGCTCTCTCGTCAACTGCCTTCTGCAAGAATAAAGGGCAGTCAGTCACCTCATGCCGTTCCTTACAGCATGGACAGTTTCCTGTTGTCCGTGCGTCGGTGACCAGAGTGCTCCTCTGCTGGGCAGTCTTCTGCATTGGCTTCAGCTTGTTTTCTTTCGGAGTCCTCCTTGGCTGTGACACAGCCGCATAGTTGACTGCTACCCGCACCTTCTTCTGAAGCCAGACATCTAGGTCGATGAGGTTGGGTCTCTGGGTCAGATCGAGGACGTGCGCTCCCCATTCGTGCTTTAACTCCGGAGGAAGCTTCTGTACTACCCTTCTGAGATTTTCATAGCTTCTGAGATCTCCCTCATAGCCAAAGTTCTTGAATATGACTACGGCACAGTGGATTGATGAATGGAGCTTTTCCAGTAACACAGGATCCAGGTGGGATGGGTTAGGGCAGGAGAAGATATTCTGGAGGTGGGCGTGCACGATGTCCTCCTGCTGACCGAACCTCTCTTCCAGCGTCTTCAGGGCCTCCTCGTACAACCTCCCATCGAACAGCATCCCACTGATGGCCTGCTCGGCCACACCTGTTACGGCGGCCTGCAGGTGCACCATCTTCTCAGTTGGAGTCAGGGACGGTTGGTTGTGTACCATTGTTCGGAAGAGAGCTGACCACTTTGGCCATTCAGCTGGCTCACCTCCAAACTTTGGCAGGTTCAGGCGAGGGAGACTCTGACGCACAGCCTCAGCATGCAGTCCAGACTGGAAAGCGCCCGTGCCACCACTGCCCTGGGCCCGGTGAGCAGTAGTGGTGCCGGCGCTGGGTCCCTGCTCCACTTGGGTCCCTGGCACACCACCACCAACCTGGGCCTGGTGAACAGCAGCGGTGCCGGTGCTGGGTCCCTGCGCTTGGGTCCCTGGCATACCACCACCGCTCCTGAAGACCTGAAGAGCTGTAGTGCCAGTGGCTTCTTCATTTTCTTCATTTTCGGCTTCACCGAAATCCTCACGTCTGTCCCAGTTGAGTGAGTCTTCCTTCAACAGCTTTGCACGCAACTCTGCTGCAGCCTGAGCATCTTCAGCTTCCTGTAACTTCAGCATTCGTTGCAGCTGCTGGTCCTCTTCCTCGGTCTTGAGTCGTCTCTGCAGTTGCTGCAGTTCCAGTTTCTTCACCATGGCATCCACCTCTGCTACTCGTGAGGCTGCCGAAGATGACTCAGAATGATGTGACTGTCCGGACACTTCAGATGCCGGGTCGTCTTTTCTGTCCTTCAGATACCCTTCTATTCTACTGACTGCCTCCTCATGTTGCCGATCAGCTTCTGCTTGATATGCCTTCACCTGTTCCAGCTCATCTTCTGACGTCAGCATGGATGCAATATTATCAGATGCCTCTTCCACTTGCTGAAGTGCTTTGTCCAGCTCCGAGATGATGGAAATCAGGTGGGTCCGGCTACCTCTGTTGTCTATCAGAACATAGGCCCTTCTCCTTGTCCTGGTCAAGTTTGCCAAACATCTCCCCCGCTTCTGCTTCAACTGTGCAATTGACTGAGGCATCGTGTGTACAGGACTCAGTTCAATCATGAATCAGGGAGTGCAGAATGGTCAGGTATGATCAGGCATATGGGCAAAACAATTACGTCAAGGTAACAGGCACAGGTGGTTAAAATACAAAGCAGGCACAGTCGGGTAAAATCATGGGTGAATCAAGGCAGGTCAGTTGGGCATCACTTATGAGAACATAGGTATCTCCATTAACTTTGAGGTCATTACAGCACTTTGGAGCTCAAAGGATACCTTGGAACTGTTGTCGACACCATCGGCGATATAGCTCGGTACGCTACAAAGGATAAAAGATTGATAAATGGAAATAAATGTATTGGGCATTAGAATAGAAGAGACATATGGACAGTAGACAGATGCAGTCTGTAGTTTGTTGAGAGATCGTAGATCAGTAGTTTAGTTGTAGGTTCCTGTAAAATACACAAATAACAGGCCCTTTTACACCGGTGTGCGCCATAAATCGTCTCATTCATTTCGGTATCAGCAGTATCTGACATATCTATGGGCATATATCCAAACTAAATACTTTTGAACCTCACACCGGAGTTAATTAGTGCATATCAACAACCAACGAAGCGACAAGTAGCATTTCATGTCCAAAATATCCAAATAACCTACCAAGGTGTCTTCCTTCGCCGGGTTTCGTGTCGAATTGCGCACAAGGCCGGTCAGCTGGTGACACGCAAAAATAACAAGTATGGGCAGACGAAACCGGCCGACAATAAACAAATTTAAATACGCCTTTTACCAAATGCAATCGGTCACACTTGGAGAAAACGTATCAAATAATTTCACTACGATATTCCAATGTGAAATACTAATCGAGATAGTATAAATCACTCATTTAACGCAGCTTGGTTATAATGCAGTTCCCAAAACGACCGCGCACCCGCGGTGGCAGCACCTTACGGTGACAGCCGAGAACAATGCTGCCATCTATGCTACAAGCGGTCCCGATGCGATTCAGGACCATCACAATCGTTATTAACCTATTTGGGAATGGATGACTAGGTAATACTGACAATTGGCGACTTTTCTGGCGCACTATTCATTTGCTAATTAATTGTAAATCAATTCCCAGTAGGTACCATGAAGTTATCAAATGCTGCTGCCAATAGGCATTAAAAGGCATGGAATTGTTTTTATCTTTTCATGAATTTGTAGATATGAGCTGCGGATTGCCAACTGATTATGGTTCGGTTTTCCTAAGTTTGACCATCGCTGTAAATGTCTCTTTGAACACAGCAGGGATTTGCTGGCTGGACTTCTGAAAAAAAACTGATTGTGCACATTGGTTTCAAACAATTAAAATTATCAAATTTATTTCTACCTGACACTCTTGGAGCTCGTACTTGCCTATGTTTTCAAAAGCACAGGGATAGGCGACCAATCATGATCAGGAATTGTAACTGAACTTATCTATAAATTACAGGGCATCTTATATAACTGTATATCCGGCATTTCAAACTTATTTGATAATTTTTATTGATATCGCCAATACAATGTGCGCTAACAAGTTTTCTCAGCAGATCAGCTTGCAATTCTTGTGGTGTGTTTAAAGAAATGTTAACAGAGGGCTGTTCGGATGCTCAGCAAAAAATGAAATATACTGCAGCATGCATGCACACTGAGGGCTACGTCACCCGTTAGTCCCGCCCACACCATTACGTCATCGCATGTGTGACGTCGCCTACTGCGGCATGCTTCACTTCCTGCAGCACGAAATTTGGTGCTGCAGGAGACGAAAGTGGCACAAATTAAAGTTTACCGTCCAATATTTCTTCTTGTAAGAGGTTTGTGGGTTGTTTTTTGGGTAGGTATCATTATCACTCTTTTCAATGGCACATTGCTATTAATCATATTTGAATGCATCTTAACCATTACCTGAATGACAATCACCAGTCCACCCGCGCTGCGTTTTGCATTGCGTGGAATGGCCTGTAGCGGCGCTCAGCCGCAGCATGCCTGCGGACTTAGGGTGTCCCAAATTTCACGAAGTATTCCAATTCACCTAGGATACACCGGGATCCCGTTCCTTGGTTCATTTGAACCTCACACACCAATTTATAGAGTAAACTACCAGTAAACAAGGTTGCCGCTAGTGCTCTGAAGTTTTATTTGCATTTTGGTGTTATATGATGGTGCAGCGTTGTAGTCTCCGAATGCAAAATGGGAAATATGTGTAAGCAACGTAGCAATATTAGCTTCTTCGATGCTCAGTGATGCTCAGATCCCACGCACATTGCACAATGATGAAAATCCGGGTTTATGTACGCATACATACGTGTGAAACTGTGTGTGTGCGTGCCCGTATGCCTCTGTGCGTGTGTGTATGTGTGTGTGCGTGTGCGCGAGCGTGACTGCGTGCGTGCCTACCGGATAGAAGGCAATGCCAGTTTTAATCTTGGTGTGGGTGATTTCATGTGCCGCTGATTTCGTTTAGGAGTAAGCGATCAAATAAAGGTCTCAGGTTAGTGCTTCAAATGTCTCGCTTCAGATCGAACAGTCTGCGGCAATGGCACACCACATAAACGCAGATTGAACAGAATCAAATTTACATTGCAGCTATGGGTATTAAGTTCACCGTACACTGTCCTGAGACCGTCCACGCGTACAACAACATCGTGCCCGGCTATGAGATCCGTCTAAAATATCGTACCCTGCTCTGAGATTCGTCTAAAACATCGTATCCTATTCTTAGATCCGTCTTAAACATCGTACACTGCTCTGAGGTCCATTTACACTCTACGGTCTACACGTAACGTCATCGCACCCTGTTTAATATCTGTCTACCACTACAGACCCATGTAACGTCCTTCTTCGTGTGACCGTAAAGCGACCTGTGCTTTGCCACCACCTGGGTCAGCGCCTGCAGCTGGTCCTCATCTTTCGTTCTGTCCATCATCTCCTGTGCCAGCTTCACTCCGCGATCCGCTCCATCATTCACAACTGCCAGGCTGTTGACGTATTTGTGAACTGCGTTGTAACCTGAGATAATTTTCCATTTTTGACAGGCTCTTGCAACCATTCGAGGGCGCACTCATATGATTCTCATAGCCGGGTGCCCGGTGCAACCATTCGAGGGCGCACTCATCCAGATTCTGGATTAGTGCGCCCTCAAATGGTTGCAAGAGCCTGTCAAAAAATGTAAAAGTATCTCAGGTTACAACGCAGTTCACAAATACGTCAACAGCCTGGCAGTTGTGAATGATGGAGCGGATCGCGGAGTGAAGCTGGCACAGGAGTCGATGGACAGAACCAGGGGGATGTCGTCCCGGTTCTCCCCATGTATTATTCGCCAATCAACTTAACACTACCAGTGACGTCACTGGTGGATCGCCAATGGGGCCGTTCGGCCGGCCGGCCGGGCCGGGCCCGTAGAAGGCCAAACGCAGACGTTTTCAGAAAAGCGTAAGCCGTATAGATACAGTCGTGAATGGAGTTTTGCTGTAATTCGGCTCTCCAAGAGTGCATCAGGGTACCTCAGGATAAAGGTCATAGTGAACCAGCATCTGATAAACCCCGCTCACGGCTTAGCAGCCGGCTTTGACCCTTCGCCCTCGTAAAGCGCAAAAGCGCTTGCCGGTCATCAACCCACCTGCATCTCCTCATCTGCTTACTGCCTATATCGACCAGATACTGCAACCGTTTTGGAGCGGCTCACGACCGATAACACGCCGGGCGTGCGCTAGCCGCCGGTGCTAAGCGTTAACCATTGAGTGCGCGTGGCCGACTGCCGCCCCGATGGCGCTGGCCCCCGGCACCGACACCGGCGCGGCGCCCCTGACCCATGGGAGGGGGGGGGGGCTGCTAATTAGTTGAGCCGGAATTGGGATAGAAGCCGGTATGGGATTGGGATAGCAACTCAGCGAGACTAAGGGATTGTGTTGTGCCTTCGGTAGGCCCCCAAAATTACCGGTGTAGTGCCCTCAGGGCCGCCGGTTATGAAGCCTTTGGAGGCACTGGTGTGGGCACTCACAGGTAGGTACCGGTGTGAGGCCCTCAGAGGCATTGGTGCGGGGCCCCCGAGGTGCCGCTGTAGGCCCTCTGAGGTGCTTGTGTGTGGCCCTCAGAGGCGCCGGTGAGGGTCCTCACAGTTGCCATTGTGGGCCCTCAGAGACACTGCAGTGTGGGGTCATCACAGTCGGGTGTGGGAGTTGGGACTCTTAGAGCTGCTGGCTCGAACTCCCTTTATAAGCCGACAGGGGCTCTCAGAGACCGACAAGGGGCCCTCAAGAGGTCTGCGGTGTCTTCAGGAGCCCTGCGGAGTCCTCAGAGACCAGCAAGGTACTCTCAGACGCCGGTGGGGGCCCTCAGAGTCGTCGGTGTGGGGCCCTAAAAAGTCACCGGTGAGTGGCCACTGGCCGTCCAATGCGAAGGTCCCGTCTGGGGCCGACAGAGGCTCCGGCGTTCAGCCCTCAGAGCCGCCGATAAATATATGGCCAAGAAGCACTGGTTTGGGCCTTTGGGACTTCATTCAGGGGTGCCGGTTGAACTCAGGTGGCAGTGGGGCCCTCAGCTGGGCACCGGTTTGGGGCTTTCACAGCCGCCGGTGAGGGCCCTCGCAGGCGCCGTTGTGGGGGCCATCAACCATTGGTTTAGGGGGTCATGTCATCACAGGCGTGAGTGGAACCCTTAGAGCTGCTGGTCCCTGATAGGCTGGTAAGGGCCCTCAGAGGTCGCCAATGGGCCCTGAGAGGCCGGCGAGGGGCCCTCAAATGCCGACAAGGGACAATAAAAAGCCGGTGTGTGACTCTTATGGAGAGAAGTGTGGCTATTCGGAGCACATAAGGTGTTCTTTCGAGCCCGGGCCTGTGGGGCCCTTCTGAGTCGAAAATGCCAGCGTGGACCCTCAGCCGCCAATTGGCGTCGCAGGGCCCCTCGGGCCCGAGAGGCCCCCTGATCCGATGGGGGCACGTGCCCCCTGCCCCCCCCCCTCCGGGTGCAGATAGAGAATGCAATCGGCAGTGCGGGACACAACAATTGCAATCGTTCCTTCTCCCGTCGCGAGGTCGCCCATCCAACCCATATCCCAAGATTGTCAACCCTGGGGCTCGGGTCGGCAATGAATCGGCAAGGAAATCAGCTTTAGGTGGGTAAAAAAGTTATTAAGAGTCATTAGTTGTCGTTACATTCAGTAATAACAGCGATAAAGTGTCAAATGTACCCGACATACGGCTTGGAGCCGGGCGCCGCGCGGTCTCCACCAGTGACGTCACGCTAATGCTTAGCGACCGGTCCATTGGAAATTGCGGGATGATTCTACCTCTCTTATACGGCCTTGGGACAGAACGGAAGATGAGGACCAGCTGCAGGCGCTGACCCAGGTGGTGGCATGGCACAGGTCGCTTTACGGTCACACGAAGAAGGACCACGTGGGTCTGTAGTGGTAGACAGATATTATAGCAAGGTGCGATGACGTTATGTGTAGACTGTAGAGTGTAGATGGGCCTTAGAACAGTGTAGGATGTTTTAGACGGACCTCAGAGCAGTGCAGTGTTGCCAGGTCGAGTGGTGCCAATACCTCCAGAAAATGTTGTAAAAACCTCTAGAAACCTCTGTTCCATTGCCGCTGATTATGATTATAGAGTATATATACCTCCATACCTACAGCTCCGTATCACAAACCGTGGCGCCGTTTCAAAGCACGCTGCCATCCGCTGCTAGCGCGTGATGACATCATCAAGCCCATTGCTCCAACACTACCAAAGGGTCTGTTCCAGTCTCACTTCCTAACACCTCTAAACTCCTCCAAGATTGCTTCCCTGTTCCAGTGTCAGCTCTAGCCCCTACAAATCAAAGGAGGGCCCTGCTCCAACCTCCTCTATCTTGCCCTTGGAGGAGTTTAGATGTGTTAGGAAGTGCGACTGGAACAGACCCAAAGTGTGACGTCAGCGCGCTGGCAGCAGCTGGCAGCGGGCTTGGAAACACCCGGTTGTATCCCCAATCAAGATAATTCACTCATCCTTC